CTGGAGTTGGTCACAACTAATGAGTAAGGACAAGAAGCCACCTCAATGTCTTCATCCACAAGCAGGTCACAAAGGGCACTTCTTTTCTGGGACTGGGAGAGCAGACTGGTCAGACACCAGAGAAGGGTTCTGAAGTGAGGGAACACGCTGCTGCCACAGTGGGAGTGATGCTGAGACTCCAGGGTAGCAAGAGGGCCGGGTGACTCCTGTGGTCCCCCGCCCCTAAGCTGTCCCTCTGGGCTTTTCCCCTTTCCTTTCTTTTCCCTTTCCTTTCCTTTCCCTTTCCTGTGCCTTCCCTTTCCCTTCCTTTGTTTTGTTTTGTTTTGAGACAGGGTTTCTCTGTGTAGCCCTGGCTGTTCTGGAACTCACTCTGTAGACCAGGCTGACCTCGAACTCACAGAGATCTGCCTGCCTGTGCCTCCCAAGTGCTGGGATTAAAGGCGTGCACCACCACCACCCGGCTATCTGTAAATTATGATTTTTTAAAAAAACTTATTGCTGACAACGTCACACATGTATACACTGTGTCGAGAACATATGTACCCCACTTCCCTCCTCCTAGTCCTCTGTAACCTCCCGACATGTCCATCTCACATCCTGGGGCTCTTCACAGGCAGTCTGTGACTAGTTTCACCGAGAAGGAAGGGACTGGCCTAAAAGCCAAACAGCCCAGCTACCATTCCTGCTGCCTGGGAAGCACCACAGTCCCTGAAGGGTTTCCTAGTCACTGCTCCCAGTAGCTGATTTGGAGTCTGCTTCCTCTGTGGCCCTTTGCTTATCGCTCTTCTCTTAGCCTCAGAGCCTTAGTGACCTCAGGGCAGTTAAGAGCCAAGCAAAGGGGGAGCCTTCCACACCAAGCCTGGAGGGGCGGATGCCCAGGCAGACCGGGAGCATCTGTGCTCCATCTGCAATGCCTGGGTTCCCTGGTGCTCCGTCAGGAATTTATGAGATCGTTACTGCTTGCTTCCACATGGCCCTGGGCCTTCCTTCTAGTGCAGACTGCCGTCTGCCTTTTACTTGGTTCCCTGTCAAAGGAATTCTCTGGATTCCCTCGGCGCTGAACCAATGGTACACGAACCACAGCTGGCAGGGGATGGAATGGGGTGTCTTGAGCGGCCACAGGGGATGGAATGGGGTGTCTTGAGCGGCCACAGGGGATGGTACAGAGCACGGCTCTGGATCCCAAGCACTTCATCGGTTGTTTTCATAGCACAGAACTGCTCCTCCCAGCACCGACTCAGTTCTGTGCCCAGCACCGATTAACAACAGAACTGTCGATGCCCCTACAGAGCCAGGATGAAAGGGTTGGCTACGCCCTGACATCTTCATCAGGCAGTTCAAGAGTCTGGAACCAGAGAATGTTTTGTTCAGGGGCCTCAACAACAGTCTCTTTCGGAATAGATTAATTTCAAGATGGAAGCAGTGAAGACAGGAAGCAAAGGGGTACTTGAACCTGACTGCGAGGAGGTGAGGTGGGTCATTTAAATGCAGACAGGAAGGAATATGGTGGGAAACCAAAAGGTGAGATGCTCAGTGGGTAAAGACACTTGTCACCAAGTCTGATGACCTGAGTGTGACCCTAGAACTCACATAGTAGAAGTTGAGAACTGACTTCCAAAAGTTGCCCTCAGCTTCCACATGTGTAATACTACACAAATGTGCCGACATGCGCTCTCTCTCTCTCTCTCTCTCTCTCTCTCTCTCTCTCTCTCTCTCTCTCTCTCACACACACACACACACACACACACACACACACACAGTTAATAGAAAAAATTTCTTTTCCAAGACAGGGTTTCTCTGTGTAACCTTGGCTGTCGTGAAACTTGCTCTGTAGACCAGGCTGGCCCAGATCTCACAGACCACCTGCCTTGAGTGCTAGGATTAAAGGCGTGCACCACCACCACTCGGCAAATTTACTTTTTTAAAAACTTAAGAGAAAGGAAATTTTTAGCATTTCCCCTGCACATTATGAAAGAAAAGATGGGCCCCATCACAGACACTGGAAGCTGGAACATTTGGTACTTTTTGCAACTTTCAGGAATCTACGGTACTAAGACTCCTAGCTGAGGAAAACACCCAGGTTGAGGGAGAGATTCTGCCTCAAAGGAACAGTGAAGAGTGATAGAGGAGGACACCAGATACCTTCTTCTGGTCTTTGTGCATGTGTACTGGTGTGCACGTGTACGCACACACATATCCCAGCACTAGGAAGCTGAGGCAGCAGGATCATACATCTGTTAATAATAACAAAGTTAATATAAGCCAAGTGACTATTTTCTAACCTTCCACAAGGTTCCTGCTGTCTTAATTCCAGAGTTTCCTCAGAAGGAAAAGCTCCTGTAGCATCCTCATCCCTCCCCTTTGGACAGTTCCCAGGATGTCTGGTCTATCTAGAGGACTTGGTAACTGTGCATCGAGAAAGTGTGATCCTCATGGCGAGGGTGGGAAGAGGCATAAAGAAACCGTACATTTTAGAAATTGTTGAGAACGAGGATATCTTTTTTCTTTTCTTTCCTTCTTTTTTAATATTCATTTTACTGAGTGAGGATATCTTATATAGTGTTTTTATTTGCTTGTTTTAGTTTTTGGTTTTCTGAGACAGTCTTCCTATGTAGCCTAAGCTGGTCCTTGAACCCCAGTGCTATTCTCGTGTCAGTCAGAGTGCTGGGAAGACGGACACAAGCGACCACACCCAACAAAGCGTTTTCGTGACTTGCTGGAGAAGGGGACACAGCGAGACAAACACACAGGTTTTCTGGTGGCACAAGGTGCTGGTGACTGAACCCAGGACCTCACACATGTGCTAGGAAAGTGCTATTCCACTAAACTACCTCTAGTCTCCCCACTCCAAATTAAGAAATATTCAGGGCAGGGAAGTTTATTACAATATAATTGTAACTTAAAATAATCTCACCCGTGCATATTAATTAAACACATTTTACAGACTGATGCCCAACCTACGCTCCTGCATCCTGCTTTGGCATATAACATAGGCATTTCTACTTTACTAAGATACTTCACCCTTCCTTTTCTGTTTTGTTTCCTGAGTTTTGAGATGTTCTCACTATGTAGTCCACGAACCTGCTTTCTCCCGTCTCACCTACTGCAATGCTGGGATTTCAGGTGTGAGTTACCACAATTGGCCTCATAATTCTTCTTAATGCGGTGCCAACAAGCCATCACCAAGAGAATCCAGCTGGCTGACAGTGGTACCTGGTGGATCCAGGCCACAAGGAAAGCTGTGCACCCACTCACAACTCCATGTGCCCCCTGGAAACTGTCCCTGGAGGCCAAGCACTGCCTGGTGACAGGCTGGATATATTCTGCTTGCAAGCATCTCCTAGATGGATGTGGACCTCGTACCTAATCCAACCCAGCATGTGGCACAGGTTGGTTCAAGCCTCAGAGTGTCAAAGCACAGATTCTGTGCGGGCCAGGTTTCCAACTGAGGAGCCTGTCAGAGGCATGCTGTAAAAATGATGAATGGCTGTCGTGTTTCCAAGGCTCTGGCTGATTTAGGGAGCTACTGGCAGGCACATTGCTCCCAGTGTGTCAGCCAGTTAATTACCTCCAACTTTATCTTTTTGTCAGCGCTTCTTGACAAATTGGCTGTTATCTTTTTACTCTGCAACAGTGAGCACTGCCCCTCTTCTGGTGATGCCTGGGGGTTTTTCTCCCTTTTTCTGCTTCTTCATATCCAGAGAGAAATGAAGAGCTCAGGGAGAGACTATGAAGGAGAAGATGTGGGTGGGGAGGGCTCAGAGCTCAACCTTGATCTAGTTGGATGCAAAGCACACTGGGTATTTTGGGTGAAGTCTGATCTTGGCCTCTGGATGGCCAAGATCTTGGAACTTTGTCTAGCATGTGGATGCTGTGAGAAACACGACTTTCTCTCTCTTCTCAGAGCCTTTCTTTGTTTTGTTTTTGAGACAGGGTTTCTCTGTGCAACAGTCCTGGCTGTCCTGGAACTCACTCTATAGACCAGGCTGGCCTTGAACTCACAGAGATCCACCTGCCTCTGCCTTCCGTGCACAACCACGCCTGGCTTCTCAGTGTTTTCTAGGGAAAGAAATGTCTATACTTTTCTTGCATTTCCTCTTCTTTTTTATCATGCAGCTCAGGTTAGCCTTGAACTTGCTATATAGCACAAATGGTCAAAACCTTACATTTCTCCTGCCTCTGCCCTCTGAGTACTAGGATATTAGGAGAGTGTCACCACAACTGGCCTGCACATCTTAATGTTTTCCACTATGTTGGAAGTTTTGGTGTTTGGCTTATCTCAAGAGGCTGAAGATAATCTCCTACACCACTTGTTATGATCTTGCCTTTCACACCTAAAATTTAAATCTAGAACTGAAATTCTGTGTATGGTGTGAAGTAGGATCAAAATCTGAATGTTCTCTGCTTGACTGCTAACCAGCTGCTTCACTACACTTACTGCAAAGGTTGGCCTGTCCCCAGTGCTCTCTGCTGCACTATGACACTGGTTCTGGGGCAACAGGATATGTAGCATCCACTATTTATATGATCATATGGTACACGGCACTTCTGCAACTCATGGCTTAAGCACAGCATCACTGGACAGACATGAGGTTACTACCTTAAAGAGATCCACGGAGTTTAGCAGATTTTGAATGACATTAAACACCAATGAACTCCACGGAGCCAATGAAGGCTGCTAACCCAGCTCTTCACTAAGGAAAGTGAAAAAGGAGCCGACGAGCAGAGTGCCGACCCGAATCTCTGAGTAGGTTAACCCAGAAGATCCCGTCAGTAACATCCTGATCCCCAAGGACGCAAAAAAGACGGGAGATGAGGGGAAACAAGAAGTGCCTATCTGAGTCCTTAATGCTCTTTCATTCAGAAACGTAAACCTGCTGCTAACCTGCGCGGCCTCAACAGAAACCTCTTTCTGCAGAGCCGGACACTCGGCTGGAAAAGGCTCAGAGAGGCCACAGCAGGAAGAGCTGTGCAATGTCAGGTCTGGGTGGGGACCCAAGCTGAGTACCAAGTCAAGTGACTGTCTCCGTGGCTCACCATCATAGAGACAGCATGCACATGTTCCAAAGACAGAGCTCCTGCGGGAAGGACAGAGGGACCTTTGTATACAGTTTTAGTGAAAAGTTCCATGTTTTACAGGATTATAGGAGAGCACTTCAAAGAAAGGATATAAAGTTTGTAATAACTAACTCCATTTCTCAGGCAAAGTCATATGCAGGTACAGAAGGACTAACGTCAAGTTGCAAGCCACACTGCATGGAGAGAGGAACCTAGACTCTAATCTAGATTTATTAGGTGATGTGGAGTTTTCTTCTCTGCATTTGAAGCTCAGGCAAAGGCTGAGCCTATTCACTGCTGCCCAGATACTGACAGAAGAGGGTGACCAATCCCAGAGCCGTGCCTGGCATGGCTGAATCTTCTTCTCTGTCCTAAGTGTATGACACCTCCTTATCAAATGTCAGGTGATCTTTTTGGAAGGAAGGTGTGTAAAAAGAAGACAAATTCAGATTCAACAGGATTTTGTAAAACCCTGAGTGATGACCAGAAGAAGACCTATCCAGCCCAGTTACTTTGCCCACACCCATCGGGATGTCCACATAGACCAGAACGCAAGTAAACAGCATGGATTACCTTAGCAGGCCTCCCTAGCTCAGCAGTCTCCGTCCAGACTCCTTCTCACTCCCTCACCCTCAGCCTGTGTTATGTAACCTTCAGACGGGAGTTTGGAGACTTTCTACTGCCTGTCTGCTAGCAGATAGAGCTCAGCCAGAGGCTGGCAGGGGTATAATCTAATAGGCACAACTGGAAACAAATCCCCAGCCTCCTGTCTGAGCCCAGAGACTGTACAGACAAGGGGACAGACACCGGCCCCGCCCCTCCTCCTCTGTTCTGGCCTGAGTTTGCGCTGACTTCACTGAACAGGCACCCGACCCTCCCAGATGAGGTGGGAGGGGCCTGAGCACACAGCCATGGTAGGGTGGAGGTACAGGCACTAACAATATTTAAGATGCTGCCTTGGTGGGGCATTTAGACCCGGGAAGGAAAGTGTTCCAGTACCCACTGAGTTCCACTTCAGAAACTCTAGCTTTGAGAAAGGCTAAGAAAGCTCAGAGGAAGGAGACCACCAGGAAGGAAGAAAACTGCCCGTGTTATAAGTCACAAGCTTCCCTCAGTTTCATAGACCTCCATCAGGTACAGACTCTAGAGGAAGACTCCCCCAACAGGCCCACAGACATGCTGAGGAAGACCTGGTTATGCATTATCCTTGTGGCCTTTGTCAGCCACCCAGTGTGGCTGCAGAAGCCTCCTAAGCGCAAGACACCTGCACAGCTCAAAGCAGCGGTGTGCTGTGAGGAGATGAGGGAGCTCAAAGCCCAGGTTGCCAACCTCAGCAGTCTGCTGGGTGAGCTGAGCAAGAAGCAGGAGAGCGACTGGGTCAGTGTGGTGATGCAGGTGATGGAGCTGGAGAGCAGCAGCAAGCGCATGGAGTCACGGCTCACGGTGGCCGAGGGCAAGTACTCGGAGATGAACAACCAGATCGACATCATGCAGCTACAGGCAGCCCAGACCGTCACTCAGACCTCAGCAGGTAAGCGCTGTCCTCAGACACTCCTCACCTCGTCCCCGCTGAGGGTCTCCTGGCCCCAGCGCTGCTTCTGGATAGCCTGCTTGACAGAACAACTTCGGGGGACCTTTGGGGAATGCTTTATCTTTAAGGCTCATTTGTATTCTTTAGGGGTTAGCGATGTCCTGCAAGTTTAGCCAGGACCTACCAGTCTCTTTTTCAGACAAAGTCTCACATAGCCCAGACTGGCTTCAAACTCACTATGTAGCCTAGGCTGGCCCTGGACTCTGGATCCTACTGCCTTAGCCTGCCAAGCACTGGAATTACAGGCATGAAACATGTCTGGCTCCAGTCTATCTGAATCACACAAAATTTCAGCAAATTGGGAGTCTGAACTCCCCTTTGAAGCATGAAGTCTTCAAAGGTTGGTGTGGCCCTGATACACTTCCTTACTGAGAGCTGACAGACTGTAAAGGAAGCAGGAACAAACAGCAGACTGGGACAGTTGCTGCTCTAGATGCAAAGTTTCATCCCCACAGTGTTTGGGTATCCCTAGAACTTAGTGTGGAGGGGTGCAAACGCCTGCAGCCATACAGCCATTTGAAAGAAACCTCTGTGCTCAAGGAAGGACAAACTCCTCTACTTTCTATAGTTCTGATCTATTTTCTCCTATGATTGCTAATAAAACTCTCCCAAATAATACAGAAAATAAGTAAAGGTAATGTTGAAACACTGATCTTTAGGCACATGCAATTCATTCTTTGGGAAAACAATATTCAATTCTTGGTTAGCTTGGCACAGACAGGCCAAGAAATGAATTTGCTGCTCAGAGACAAATCTAATTTTCTGAGGTTATTGGGACATTTGGAATGAGCATATTCCATAGGTGAAGCATTTCTTACTAATAATGCTGGCTGCATTATAAACCAAGTCAAGAAGACATGATTGGTTACCCTTGGTTCAGACAAAGAAAAAGTTTTTGCCCAAATATTAAGCCTGAAAAGTCTGTTAGCTAATTAAACAAATATACAAACTGCTTTCAAAGCATGGACTTCCTGATCTTCAGTTTGGGAACTGAAAGGTAGGTGTTCTCATTTACCAGACAAGTGAGTCTTCATTTGGTCTGTGAGATGCAACAGGTCACAGAGAAGACCAGGCCAGAGGCAGAGCTGACTGGACTGCTTCTTGCTACTAGAAGTCTCCTGGGGACGGGGCAGGTGCACCTCATTCCCTTCCCAACATGCTCCGTGTGGAAACAGGCACCGTGGAAACTCCCACTTCCACCTGTACCAGTGGGCACCAGGGAAAACGTCCCGACATGGTGCAGGAAGCCACAGCCTCTCCTGGAAGCAACTGCTTCTTTGAAGCCTCACTCTGCTATTCAGAACAAGGAGACAAAAGCTAGCACAGAGCAGCAGCCTCGAGGCAGCCAAGGAAGCTTTTAAGTCAAGCCCAAGGGGAGGTGGGAAAGTCTCATTTCCTTGTTTTATCAAAACTTGCAGGGACCGGTCCCAATGGGCTCCTTGGAGTTTTGGTTTTCATTTGAGCATCTAGCAATGTGAGACTGGGGAGGAGATAAGATTTCAAATCTGTCTCCCTAATTAAAGTACCAGCCTGCCGGTAGCTATGACCTGAGAAACAATAACCCAAACCCCCTGAGTGCTCAGGACTGAGCCTCTGGCTGAAGCTACTCACAGGGCAGCTGCTAAGTAGCTTTCACAGACCACATCATTTCTGGTTCATGGCCTGGTGCTATAGCAGGGTATCTTACACTTAACCTGGACCTTCCTGGTTAATGTCCCTTGGCACAGGGAAAGGGCTTCCTTACTCTACCGCCTCATAACTAAGGAAGCCCAAACATGCCCCCGTGATCCTGATGCCCACTTCTACCCATTGGCACCCTGTGGTACAAATAAAGTCTTAGTTTTTAATCCGGTTCAGATGTAGCAAGCATGCCCTCCCATCCCTGGGGCCCAAATCTCTGTTCACTCTGGGTGTCGCCTTTACAGATGCCATCTATGACTGCTATTCTCTCTACCAGAAGAACTACCGAATCTCTGGAGTGTACAAGCTTCCTCCCGATGAGTTCCTGGGCAGCCCTGAGCTGGAGGTGAGGTCGCTAAAGGCACGGAGACAACAGGGCTTGGTCTGGTCTACAGAAAGGGAAATTCAGGGAAGCAAATGCACCACATGGTGGAGCTATGAGAATGCCCACTTTATGGGACTCCTCCCTCCAAATCCCAGCTATCTGCTTTTTTTCAAATCGTCAGTCAAATACCCACTCTGATTCTCACCAACACATAACTTCACTAGTTTACATTTCTGGCAACATCCTAGAGCAATGCTCTTCAGGAGAGGAAAGGAGGTATCAGAAGGAGGCACCCTGAAGGACCTAATTTTTCCACCAACGTGTACTTAGCTGACCCCTTCCCCATACACATTCCCAAGCTGACTGTGTCCCAGCCCCTCCACACTGGGGCAGCATTTCTGCTGCAGTGTGCAGAGTCCATGGACTGCTGACCCTGTAGGCACAGCAACACAGGTTGGGGTGTCTGTCCTCGAGCTCCTGCCCCTGCCCAAGAGGACCCTCTCTGCTGCAGGTGTTCTGTGACATGGAAACTGCAGGCGGAGGCTGGACCATCATCCAGAGACGCAAGAGTGGCCTTGTCTCCTTCTACCAAGACTGGAGACAGTACAAGCAGGGCTTTGGCAGCATCCGAGGGGACTTCTGGCTAGGGAATGAGCACATCCACCGGCTCACCAGGCAGCCAACACGGCTCCGTGTGGAGCTGGAGGTAAGCGCAAGCTGTGAAGTGTCCACTGGCCCAGGTCCACTGCACACGGACATGCGGGTTTGGAAACATCACCATCGTCTACTCACAGTAGGTCTGTAGAGTCACAGCCGCTATTTTCCTGAAGGTTTGGTACAGCGAAAGAAGATTTGTTTTTCTTTCTGTCTCTCAGCAAAGTTAAACTACAGCTGACCCAGACCCGGGAAGACCCAGGCCAGAACAGGGTGAACCCCTAGTTAGAGGGATGGAAACACCATTGTCTCTGCTTTGGGTCTTTCTAAGTGCAAATCTCAGTGATGCTGGGGGGTGGACCTCTAGAAAGCTTCAAGCACAATGTCCCTACTTGCTTCTACAGTATCTCAGAGTGAGATTTAACAAAAATCAGAGAAGGGGTACAGAAAGAACAATCCAGCTCGCATGGTGAGTCCAGACCCCAAATCTGGTTTCAGACCTTTGTTCGCTAGCTTCCAGCTAACATGGTGAACTCTAGTAGTCTTACCAGAGTCCCATCACCGAAGAGACGTTTGGCTGTGGGGCTAGTGAGAGAGGAAGGGTTCAGGGTCTGTAGAAATGAAGTCCTTCACAGTTTCCCCAAGGCTCTGCTCTTCCTTGCCAGGACTGGGAGGGCAATGCACGCTACGCAGAGTACAGCCACTTTGCACTGGGTAATGAACTGAACAGCTACCGCCTCTTCCTGGGGAACTACAGTGGCACCGTGGGGAAGGATGCCCTCCTCTACCATAACAACACGGTCTTCAGCACCAAGGACAAGGACAATGACAACTGCTTGGACAAGTGTGCAGAGCTCCGCAAAGGTGAGATCTGGGAGGCGAGGGGTGGGGGAGAGACACCACGGATGACGGGTGACAGAGCTCGGGGCCCAGAGTCCCACTGAGAACAAGCTGTGAACTGCAGCTGTGCTCCAGCTGTGGTGTTCTCTTTAACGCCATCAGTCAGCCACAATCTAGGGAGGGCATCCCCAGCCTACTACCCTCACATCTGTTTCTCATGCCAGGTGGCTACTGGTACAACTGCTGCACAGACTCCAACCTCAATGGGGTGTACTACCGCATGGGGGAGCACAAGAAGCACATGGATGGCATCAGTTGGTATGGCTGGCACGGAGCCAACTACTCCCTCAAACGGGTGGAGATGAAGATCCGTCCAGAAGTCTTCAAGCCTAACTAAGAAGCCTGCTGCAATGCAGAGCTATGGAAGTGAGACGTGTGGAAGGCTGAGGGGGCAGAGCAGGATGGGAGGAGAGTGAGAAAGGGCAGGAAGGGAATGGTCTATCATCTACAATGAAAAGCCACTCTCTAAGGAGCAGGACAGAACTCTATCTGTGAGCACATGCACACACAACAGAACAACACATACCAACAGCACTCACTAGCAAATAAATGGCAACAGCCAGTACACCCAGTGGGGCCTGCCTTGGGTGCCCGGGGGAGGACTGCGTGGGCCCCGAGAGCAGCAGCTCATCTTCCACATGACTTACCTGTGGGAACCAGTAATCCTGGCTCACTTTACCCATTTTCTCTAACAGAGGCTTAGACAAAATGAGGGAAAGAGCAGATGAAAAGAACTGTTGTGATTCTCAGAGGAGAGCCCTTGGGCAGCAAGAGTGGATGATGAAGAGGAGGCTTCCTCTTCTTAAATCCCAGGACATTTCCTGTGTCTATAGGATTTGTTTTGTTTTTCTTTTTGAAAGAGGGTCTCTCTACATAGCTCTGGCTGACCTGGACTCATTATGTAGTGGCTGGCCTTGAACTCACAGAGATCTACCTGCTTCTGCTTCCCAAGTGCTGGGATTAAAGGCCTGCGCCTCCATGACAGGCACATAGGCTTTTTAAGAGACAAAAATGTGGGGGCTGAAGACCAGCTGCCCAGGTTGGACTTGCTTCTGTTAGGTCCTGGGTCAGGGAGCGCACTGCAAGGCACGCTGTGGGTCTGATGTGGAAGGGAAGACCAGTGGGAGGTGAGTCTCAGAGTGATCACAGTACAGCCTTACAACATTCTCAGTCAACATACGCATCCATTTATATTCATTCTGTAAGAAATGGACTGAAGAGATCCCCTTTATAATACTGTCTATAAGGAAAATGTCTGGAAAATGAAGGTAGATGGCGCTGTGGTTACAAACTTAGGCTGTATATAAGAAGTATCTTGCTTTGTAAAAATAAAATATTGTAGTTTCTGTTTTAAACATTCAAAATATCTTTTTTCTTTTACAATAAATACTATCAAAATTTGAGAATTTTCTTTTAAATTCTTATTATTAGCATTGAGAGAGTGGTAAAAAACTTCAGGTAAAAAGTCAGAGTGAGCAGTTGGGTCCATAGTCAAGGAAACCAAAGAGGCAGGAAGCCAGGAAAGGAAAGATGCAGTGGGAGGGCAGGGGGCGAAGGGCAGAGAGGAAGTGGGGGTGGAGAAGAGAGGGGGAAGAGAGAGGGAAGAGAAGGGGAAGGGCATAAGCCATTGGAGAGCAGGAGCAGAGCAGGAGCAGAGCCTGGCATCGGCAGCCCCACACCAACCCGGTCTCACTGCAGGGATGTCAGTGGTGGGCCCTTTAGGAGACCTGTCCTCTGGAGGAGTCAGTAAAGATAAGCCATGTCTCTCTCTCACTTAGAAACTTCTACTGTACCCACAGTTCTCGGGTTCCCGGGAATCCACTTCCCCTCATGAACAAGAACCTCGGGATTTTTTTCAAAGAAATAAAGTGAGAAGAGAAGCTGCATAAAATAGAGATTCCCAGGGGAACTATTCAAACAGAAACTTCCTCAGGCAGGCAGGAGAATGAGATGCCCAGCACCAAACGGCTAGAGTGTGTAGAGTAAGGCGCCCACACAGACAAGCTGACGGTTCTCCCTTCATTTAGTATGATCCCCAAAGAACTTCTGAGGGTCTCCACACTTCTAGGGAAACTTCTCAGAGAGGGGAAGAGGGAGGGTGAAGAATGGACAAGGCCTTCCTAGCGCCCACATTTCCGAGCATGTGCTTTGGTACTGGCTGACAGAGGGACACCAAGGATGGTGTCCCCACACACAGCCTCTGACCAGAGAGAAGACAGAACCACCAGGGACCGGAAGCAGAGCTGAGTGCTGCTGCAGAAGACAAAGGACGTTTTGTTCTGACAGGCCCTTTGAGAAACGGGAACAGGAGTTATACAGAACAGTGCTACACAGAACCAGCCTACAAGCAGACCCCCCAGTGAGCACCAGTCCTGTGCTGAACTGTGCAGACGCCTCCTTTAAAAGGAGACAACATGCGGGACAGCAAGCACACAGCTTTGATGAGAGTCTACTGAGCAGAGAAGAAAGGCATGCTGCTAGGTGCTGTGGCACATGCCTGGGAGACAGAGGCTGGTCAATCTCTGCAGGGGCCAGCCTGGTCTATAGAGAGTTGCAGGACAGCCAAGGCTATGCAGTGAGACCCTGTCTCAAAACAACAACAAGAAGAAGAAAAGACAGGCCAACAGACCTCTGCCCTCATGCACGGGATAACCAACAAGACCCCCACAGCTACCATGATGTGTTTCTTAAGTCCAGCTCCTTCTAATGCACTGTTCCCGAGAGGTGATTTGACTTTCTCATCTCTTGGGCTTCCAGCACTTGATAGTGTCTTAGTGTTGCCCCAGCTTGGAGATCACAGGTGGGTTTTAATTTGTTCTGGAGCAGACAGGTAAGACAGCCAACGGGTAGGAAACAGACAGGCTGAACCAGAGCATAAAATCCTCCCAAATCTACCTCGTGAGTGCTGGGATTACAGATTATCCCTTGGAGCCACCACATCTGGCTCCAAGGGATATTGTTTGTTTTTTAAAGACAAAAACAAAATTCAGAACTAGGTGGCTAATATTAAGTGTATGTATCACCATAAGCTCTGAGAATAGATAAATTAGTGAGTGGAATATGACTAGGAAAAAAAACCAACCACCACTGTGTGGAGGGAGGGGCACAAATAGTCAAAACAGACAGGACACCTACAGTTTGCTGAGGGAGAGGAGCTGGAACTCAGGAGCCACTGTGACAAAAGGAATGCAGTCAGTGCCTCGAGAGCCATGTCCTCAAGACCAGACCCACAAAGGGGGCACACCACTCAAAGTGCCAGGACCCAGGAGGAGTCCCTAGGTGTCTCTCCTACAACTCTGGGGCAGTCAGTTTCCCAACAGCACCTAGGCCCAAGCTGTTCCTGTAACTCTCTGCAGGCGTATGTCTCCACCAGAGCTCAGGAGACTGAAGCAGGAGGATTCCAAGTTCACTCTGCACTACATAGGAAGACTGCTTCTCAAAACAAAAACAAAAACCCCAAAACCCCAAGACCCCAGACCTGACACCCCAGAAGCAATAGAACAACCTTCCCTGTAGAGGCGCATCACAGTCAACACAACCCAACAGTGCTGAGGGAGAGGAGTTCCCGCCCCAAGAGAAAGCTGCAGATGGAAGACGCTGCAGAGAAAGGCACTGCACAGGCTCGGAGCCAGCCAACCTCCGCCAGCTGAGCACGCCCGAGCAGCTCAGAGTGTGTGCTTTCCCTCAGATCCAAATTTACAACCGAAAAACAAGACAAAACATGTCAACCCCAAATCTATTTGCAGAGAATTATGATAATTTTCAATGACATTGGCTTAAAAAGCTAATGAGTACTTTTCTATTCATACTATATCTTTCTGCTAAAAACTGCATTAACGTCAACGTTTCTATGATTGTCTCAAGTATGAGGAAAAGCCAACGGTGGGATGAGGAGCTTCCAACAGGTCTCAGAAAAGGCAGCAGTGACCCGATGGGTTAACGAGCTGTCTCAAGTTAGAGTTAACACGTCCAGTTAGTCGCCCTGGCTTCTGTAAGCTATCACACGAGTTGTACAAGTGAGGGGTAGGGGGGAAAGATGCAGGTTTGTGTCTCTGTGCTGAAGCAGTCCTTGTGGACGGCACCTCTGTAACTGTCTCCACACGGTACTTCAGAAATCAGCGTTCTCTATGTCAATGGACCTGGGCAGACGTAGGATTCCATTTCGACCTGCTGGGTTGCACCTTCTGTCACCTGCTAAAGGCAGAGTGTGCACAGAGCACGGCTGCTCGAGCCCGCTGCTCGGCCGGGCCTGTCAGCCCACCCAGGAGCTCGTTAGCTCTTGATTTGTCCTGAGCTATCCGCAGTGAAATGATGAACGCTGTGAGCATCTCCATAGAGAGATATTAGATTCCAGAGTTAACACTTCTAAAATCACTGGGGAAGTGAGCAGTCCTCTAGGAGCTGAGGCTAATGTTTCTGCCTGTAATTTCTAACAGCACAAAATTTATTAAACAACTTCCTTTCCATACCCGGAAGACTCCAAAGCATCTTAGGAGAGGAGAGAATAGAACCGAAACAGGGGAAAGATCATTGCATCTCAGACTTTGCTCTTTATATTCACAAACTCCAAAGGAGGAAGATGGGCACTACAAGACCTCGTCTCTAACACCTGACCCTGCCTCTGTGCGCCCTAATCCTGCTCAGAAGCATGACCTAACCTAGATACACATCTGTCTTTCCTAGGGTCTTGTGGCCAGAGAACTGCTTCTCATCGATTTCACTGAGACAAGCACAGGTGGAAAACAACAGAGTGTAGATGGTAAGGATGGACAGATGTGACAACCATGGCTTGACTACTGACAGCCACCTGTAACCACATATTTACACGTGCCAGCCAGACCTGACGGGAGTGGACATCTGTTCTGTCTACGGCCTTGAAGCACCGCCCCTAGAGAGGTAGTAGGTAACTGTCCTACCTACCTATGACCTTGAAGTACCTGCCTCTGGGGAGTGGCTCGGGCTACCCTGAAGACCTGGGAGGCACACATGCCATGCCGCTTTCTTCTCCCGCTCGTGGGCTGGACGGTGTGAACCATCTCAGCAGCAGAACAGCACTGGACTGTGTCTCAGCTTTCCAGGACCCTGCGATGATTCTCCTATTCTGTATTTCATGAGTGTATTTCGCCACTTTATATCCCAATAAATTCCTTTTACCCCTTAGGCAGACTCCTGGGGATTTATCGACACACTGGACGGCAGATCTCACACAGCTGAATTCTACAACTGACTCCAGTCCAGCGGGACAGGCACTCAGGGCCTACCTGATGAGGGACTCCAGTATGGCCGGTGTGGGCCCTTTCTGGAACTCCAGCTCTTTGTAGTGCAGCGCCTTTGCGTAGGCTCGGCACTTGGCAGCCCTCTCCCCCAACAGCACGATGCCATTGTCATCTCTCAGCGGCAGGGGGCCCTGCAGGAAAGCACAGGCATGTGGTAGATGGGGCGCACACAAGAGTGGGCTGCGCGGCGTGCTTTCTCCTCCTGCCGGCTGGCTTCCTATCACCGTCCCCTGGGACAATGGGGATAAAGTCTCACCTTGTCACTGTGTTCCATGAACTCAGCCAAGTTCAAGAGGGTTTGTGTGACTTCAGCAATGTCTTGAGAAGTGAGGGCCAACTCAATGCTTCTGATGAGCTCATCTTGCTGGTCCTCATTCAGTTCAGACCAGCAGGACACAAATGCAGCATTGAAGAGGTCCCTGTAAGCACAGGGAGCAGAGAAGGATGTTAGGAAGTGCTCCTGCTCCTCTGCCTGGTGCCACAAGCTCTGTCAACCTGCTTCTGGCACTGCCGGTGGGTTACAAGGAGCCATGCTACCTGGTGGAACTTGTTGGAAGTTGTCTAAACCTTCCCCAAGCAGCACAGTAACTGCTGGTCACTACTTGCTCTTGCTCTGTGGCAAACAAGGGAGGAAACTTTACACGTGCCCACCGCCTGTGAGTCTTCTTGTTTGTTTGAGCCAGGGTCTCACACCATAGCCCAGACTGCCCTAAACTCAGAGATCCATTGCTTCCCCCACCCAACTGCTGTGACCTCAGGCATTGTCAAGCCTAGCAAATGACAGCGTTCTCTTTTCGGGTAGGCACAGACATGATATACCGGGGGCTACGGGAGAGTGGGGTGGGGAGGAGAACAGGCAATTTCTGACTTGCTTCTCTTCACTGGGATGAACGGAAAGAAAACTTAGACATGAACAGATTTAGGAAGTAACAGTCCTTAAGTGATTCTTGGAATATTTCATGGACAATGTCCAAATTCAGATCAAAAATGGCAAAGGCAGCATCTGTTCCTGCTTTCCAAACATACTGAGGACGTTTCCCTGGGTGATTACGTGGGAGATGACAACAAACTCAATGCGC